GCCGATTTTGGATAGGTTGCTTGTGAATACAAGCACTCCCTATCAGAAACCAATTTTTATAGCAGAAACGTTAAGAATCCTTCCACTAAGGCATTATTGACTTAAAGTTAAAGTTGCATCCTGTACTATAGTCAATTCTATCTTTATGTTCTTTAGAAAATAATAAAACTAATGGATGACAATAGCAGTAAACACTGCCATCAAATTGCTCATAGCCGTATCAAATTAATATTAGGTGAAATTGTTTCACGAAAAAAAAAAAATCACGAATCGCATACAAGCAAGCAAAATGTTTATGAAAAAATGGACTGAGAAATAGACTAAGAACAAGCAGATTAAACTCCATCACAATCTTACCTTATATAAAGAGCACAGGAGCTCTGTCCCAACAAGTAGTCGCAGACTATATCAGCAAAAGCCCACTTAACATTCCTTATATGCTTAAGCAGCGGATTTCCTTTCTGTACCAGAAAAAGAAAAACTCGCATCTAAGGACCCAAAACCAGTCAACAAACCAAACCAAAGAAAAAACTGCGCACCTGCCTATGGCTAACAAGGATAGCATTTCGATTCTGAGCCGAAGAACTCACTGACGAGTAAGAATTCGAAGCAGAAGTCGAGGTGTAAGAAGTAGAACAGGAAGCCGCCGCTGAATCAGAAGCTTCCCTGCCACAAACAATCCCGCCAAATTGAATCAAAAAGTGAATCGCGAAGTCAAATGAAAGATCGAAGAACTGTCTCACCTCGGCGCTTGCTCCATCGGAGGCGGAGGAGTGTAGAATTCGGAGGACTTGATGAAGGAAAAGGCATGTGAGAAGGAAGCCGGAGGCGGAAGGTTATAAGGCCGAGATGAGGAAGATCCATCGGCGCCACTGATGCCGAAGACTTCCTGGTAGGAAGGGATCTGTATCAATCCCTTCTTCTCCGTTCTCCTTCCCTCTTTAGGCTCGTCGTCTTGAGTTCTCTCCATTATCTGTGTAGAGCGAGGGTGCAGCTGGGATTTAGGGCTCTCGGCATCTTATATAAGGTTACGGGGCTGTTTGGATGGCAGGATTTAGACCGGATTTGAAGCGGATTTGAGCTAAATCCAGCAAAACAGCCAAAATGCAAACCAAATCTCACGGGTAAATTCAAAGCCGGGTTTGATTTGCGGAGCATTTTACGTTGGGAGTCCGGCGGAACAGTTGACACGCCTCAACTGACTCTCACGCTCCCCACTATCTATCTTTCTATTTCTGCTCTTACAGTACATGTTAGCTTTTAGAGTTAGTTCCCTTATTAGAATTACAGAGCCTGTGCAGCTGCTATATAGGAGAAAAGCATAGAAAAGTGAACAGCTTTTGATATATCTTCAATACAGAAAAAGCTAGAGCTTCTATCTTCCTGGTATTTTTTCGGTGCTCTGTTTTCTTCTGCTTGTTATCTTGAGGTTTTCTTTCCAAAGCTTCCAGCCGCCGCCGCAAAGGTTACATCAGGTTGGTATCAGAGCCAGTCGGAGGAGAAAGGATGACGGATCGTGGCAAGGAACCAGCGACCGAAGGAACTCTCAGCCTTGAGGCACTTTGGGCAAACCAAAACGTTGTAAATCGTCGACTCGATGAGTTAGCGGCAGATTTACAGCGCTTGACGGTGGAGCTTCGTCGTGAGTTCAATCTCAACAGAACGAGACCGCCTCATCAGACACAGCGGCGAGAAGGAACGCCGGTCATCAGGCCGTTGCCGAATCGTGGAATGCCGGACAATCGGGATTTCGTTCGCGCTCAAACGAACTTCCTGGAGTTGTCAGATTCTGAGGACGACACTCCAGATTATCAACGCACAGATTATTTGGATTCCGGTGAAGAGGAAGTTGGAGGCAATGCACACCAATTGCGTTACCGGAGACACAGGCGAACCACTCCCTATCCGCACCACCAGGGAGAATTCAAGGTTAAACTGGACATACCATTTTTTGATGGGCATATGCACATTGAAGACTATTTGGACTGGGAAAAGGCTGTCGAGAATTTTTTTGAGTACATGGAAATAGATCCAGAAAAACAAGTGAAGTATGTCGCGTGTCGGTTAAAGGGTGGCGCGAGCGCCTGGTGGGCACAGATCCTACAAATGCGGCAACGAGAAGGCAAGGGCAAAATTAGAAACTGGAATAGAATGAAACAGTTGTTGAGGGCTCAATTTCTGCCTACAGATTTTGAACAAATATTGTATATGCGTTACCAGCATTGTGTTCAAGGGACACGCTCCGTAAGCGAATATACTGAGGAATTCAATCGTTTGACTGCTAGAAATAATCTCTGTGAATCCGCAAATCAGTTGGTGGCACGTTACATCGGAGGCTTAAAGGATAATATACAAGACCGACTCGAGCTAAACTCTGTCTGGTCTATGGCCCAAGCTGTAAATTTTGCCTTGAAGATTGAAATGCAGCAAAACCGACAACCCAAAGGCAGCTACAATAGGCGGCATTGGCAAGAATCCAACACAGCGAACAGTAAGACTAATTTTTCACCCGCCAAGACCCCACAGAATCTCAGTCCAGTAGCATCAACTCCTAGTTCCAGTCATGTTGTTGGGGAGCCCAGGAATATACAGAAATCCAAGCCAATACAGAAGGAAAATCCTTATGCTAAGCCGGCCACATTCAAGTGCTTCCGTTGTTTTCAACCTGGACATAAGTCAAATGAATGTCCACAAAGGCAGCAAGTACACCTCGCCGAAGGTGATGAAGGCAGTGAACAAGCCGAGGAAGGAATTGACAAGGATTGTGATATAGAAGACCTCCAAGCCGATGATGGGGAGCCACTGATCTGTGTTATGGAGAAATTATTATTGGCACCGCGGCAGAATTTAAGTTCACAACGACATGCCATCTTCCGGACTCGTTGCACCCTAGCCGGTAAAGTTTGCGATCTCTTAATTGATAATGGATGTACTGAAAATGTTATAGCCCGCTCTGTCGTCCAAGGACTTAACTTGAAGACCACTAAAAATTCGCATCCTTATAAAATTAGCTGGGTCAAAAAGGGCATGGAAATCGTAGTCTCCGAGTCTTGCCGAGTAACCTTCTCCATTGGCAAACACTATGTGTGCGAAGTGTTGTGCGACGTTCTGGACATGGACGTTTGTCACCTAATACTTGGGAGGCCGTGGCAGTTCGATGTTGGTGCCATGTATGATTGTCGTGCCAATTCCTATTCCTTCGAATGGAAGGGTCGCCGCCTCCGATTACTACCCAGCCCGGCAGAATCGAAAGCCCAAGTCCCTGGATCCTCAAAGCAAGCGGCTATACATGTGGTTTCTGGCACTGCGTTACTCCACTGTTGGAAAGAGCAAGCCCCTCTATTTGCATTATTGGTGACCGAACCCAGTGTAGACCCAGCAGTAAGAGATCGCCCTGATGAAGTTGATACGCTGTTAGAGAAATACCGTGATATCATGCCAGCTGAGCTGCCCGTGGGGCTTCCCCCCGTCCGAAATGTGCAGCATCAAGTTGATCTGTTACCAGGAGCTTCATTACCAAACATGCCTCATTATAGGCTAAATCCCAAGGAGCAACTTATCTTGCAAGAATTGATTGACGAGTTACTGAAGAAGCAATTTATTCAAACTAGCCTAAGTCCATGTGCAGTACCTGCATTGCTAGTACCAAAAAAAGATGGCAGTTGGAGGATGTGCATTGATAGCCGAGCTATCAATAAGATAACAGTAAAATATCGATTTCCGGTGCCTCGCATAGATGAATTGCTTGACATGCTTTCGGGTTCCTCCCTATTTTCCAAGCTAGACTTGCGGAGTGGCTATCACCAGATTCGCATAAGGGCCGGAGATGAATGGAAGACAGCATTCAAAACTCCACAAGGGTTATATGAGTGGAAAGTCATGCCTTTTGGGCTATGTAACGCCCCTTCCACTTTTATGAGGATGATGTCGGAAATATTGAAGCCGTTCATGGGAAAATTCTGCATAGTTTATTTCGACGATATTTTGGTCTATAGCAAGGATTGGTCACAGCACATGCAACATTTAGTGATCCTTTTTGAAGTATTGAGGCAGCAAAAATTGTTTCTGAATCTCCCCAAGTGTGACATTGCAACAACCAAAGTCCATTTTCTGGGATTTGTTATTACAGCAGAGGGCATACATATGGATCCTAAGAAGGTATCCGCTGTTTTGGACTGGCCATCACCTAAGTCATTTTTTGAAATCCGTAGCTTTCACGGATTGGCTAATTTCTACCGCAAATTCATTCAGAATTTTAGCATCCTTATGGCACCGGTGACCGACTGCTTGAAGGCTAAAACTTTTCAGTGGGGAGAGCAGCAACAGCAAAGCTTTGAGGCCATCAAATCGGCATTGATCTCGGCTCCAGTACTAGCCCTTCCAAACTTCGATAAAGTATTCACGGTGGAGACTGATGCGTCTGGCGTCGGAATTGGAGCTGTTCTGTCACAAGAAGGGAGGCCAGTAGCGTTCTTCAGTGAGAAATTGTGCACCGCTCGTCAAAAGTGGTCTTCGTACGAGCAAGAACTCTATGCTGTTATTCGGGCCCTTAAACAGTGGGAGCCTTATTTACTACATCAAGACTTCATAATATGCAGTGACAACAAAGCTTTGCAGTATATAAACAGCCAGAAGTCGATAAATCGAATGCATGCGCGTTGGCTCATGTTCCTACAAAGGTTTTCTTTTACAATCAAGCACAAGCCGGGGCAAGACAATAAGGTGGCGGATGCTCTCAGCAGAAAAACTGCACTGATCACTAGGCTCCAAACCGAAACAGCAGGGTTAGAATGTCTCAAGGAGCTGTATGAAGCCGATCCCGACTTTGGGCTATTCTGGAAGCGTTGCATTGATGGGCAATGCAGTGATGGATATTCCATACGGCATGGCTATCTATTCAAGACAAATTTACTTTGTATTCCAGTCTCTTCTTGGAGGCAAATGCTTATACGGGAAGCACACAGTGGAGGCCTTGCGGCACATGCTGGACGCGACAATACCCTTCGTCATTTGCAGGTAAGATTCTTTTGGCCGAGATTGAGACGCGATGTTTTTAGATTGGTAGATAGCTGCCCAGTTTGCCAGGTATATAAGGGAGGAGGCCAAAACACGGGTCTTTATATGCCATTACCCGTTCCCGAATCCATTTGGGAAGATCTTAGCGTGGACTTTGTTTTGGGCTTGCCGCGTACCAAACGGGGAAACGACTCTATAATGGTCGTTGTGGACAGATTTTCCAAAATGGCCCACTTCATATCCTGTAAGAAGACATCGAACGCTATGCATATTGCAAACCTATTTTTTAATGAAATCGTTCGTCTACATGGTCTCCCTAGAAGTCTCACATCGGACCGCGACGTTAAATTTATAAGCCATTTTTGGCGAGAGTTATGGAAAAGGTTGGGCACAGATTTGCGCCTTAGCTCGGCGTATCATCCGCAAACAGACGGTCAAACAGAGGTTGTCAACCGAACATTGGGAAACATGCTAAGATGCCTGGTGCAAGATCAACCGAAGAAATGGGAGGATGTCTTAAGCAAAGCTGAATTTGCTTTCAATTCGATGACGAACCGTTCTACTGGTAAGTCTCCTTTTAGTATTGTATATACTAAAACACCTAATATTGCTTTAGATCTCAGCATTCTACCAAAGTGTAAGTCCACGGCTGCTGCCTCCTTCACTGACGATTTTGAAGACTTGTTGGGGAAAGTTCGTCAACACCTTGTCAATTCCAACCAGAGATATAAACAAGCTGCTGATGGCCGCCGACGTGAACAGCTATTTAATGTCGGAGATCTAGTCATGGTTCGATTACGTCGAGAGCGTTTCCCACCAGGAACCTATTCCAAATTATCTCGCCGTAAAATTGGGCCTGTGCCTATTACTGCAAAAATTAACGACAATGCCTATACTGTTGCCTTGCCAGCTGATTGTAACACATCTACCACTTTCAATGTGTCGGACATACGAGCATACACACCGCAGGATGAAGCTGAGATCACTTACAGCTCGTCGGAGTCGAGCTCTTCCGACGCCGGGGAGGACTGATGCGGAGCATTTTACGTTGGGAGTCCGGCGGAACAGTTGACACGCCTCTAACTGACTCTCACGCTCCCCACTATCTATCTTTCTATTTC